GATCATGTATTGTGTTATATTATATTTCTGGAAAATTTAAGGGGTAGTTATATAATAATTTTGGACGATCTCGGGCGATCGGATACTTATGACCGCTACTATAATTGCGAAATTACACAGATTGAAAGTTTTGATAGAATTGTTGTGTCTGATAATCTTCAGAGATCATTCTTTTCTTGCAGTAATTTTGTGATTAGTGATCAGAATCTGATAGATAAAATATAGTTTCACGTTCAGGTCTGTTCAGATAAGTTTCTTTTTATTAAGATAGAAGGTTTCACTATTCTTGACTGCATTTATTACTTCTTTGTTTTTAAAATAGAAATTACGTATTGAAGGTTTAGATAATTAACATGTAATTTAGAAATAACCTATGCATAGATTTTACTGTATTTCCAATTGAAATGAGGTAGCATCTATTAGTATTCAATAGTAGATTGGTGAGTTTGAGAAAGAACTGATATTTTTTTTTGATATCTTCGTTTGACATAGTGCAAAAATACACTCTAATGAGGTCTTTTAGTATGAAGTAGCTATTTAGTTTATTGAGGATGATCATGTCAATTTTGTCTTTAAACATAATGGTCGCTTGTTGTCAAAGGTTTTAAGTAAACATAGTACATTTAATGATTTTGTCAAAAAGAAGAAGGTTAAGCATAAATTAGATTCTGTTGTGAAGATCAGGATCTTAGTTACTCTGATTGATAGCTCAGGAATAAATCTTGCAGCTGGTTTTGTGATTAAGGGTGAGAACATGTTATTATCCAAATTAGGCAATTTAAGGATGATTGTATTATTTACTTCATTGTACAAGGTGAAACTAATTCAGACAATTTTTTTATTAGAGTTGTCAGAATGAGTACATATTGAAGCACTAATGAAAGATGCATAATGTGATGCAAAGATGTTACACGCCTCATTTTGTTTTTTTTAATTTGTCTTTGTGAAAATATTTTTCTGCAGCATAATAAGCAAAGTAGATGGAAGCATCTGTTTTTTATTCAAGGTGGATACCGTTAGGTTTATAATTATTATTATCAAGACCATTTTCAGTGACATCAAAAGACTGGTCTATGTTTATAGGAGTTGTATTAGAAGAGGATGAGGAGTTTTTAAACGCTTTCCTTTGTTATTTGGTGAAAGAGCGATTGAGTCGAGTTTTATGTTAGCAAATGCATCTTTCATTAGAATATCTTTTGAAGATAAAGCTTCTGATGGTTAGGAAGGTTCAAGGAACTGTTTTTTTGTTGGTCGTTGTTGTTGGTTGTTGTTTGAAAAAGAAGAGCGAGTCTTATTAGACTTGTTGTTGTTGTTGTTTCTACTATTTTTTCTAGTCATATTGAAAATGAGGATCAGCAGAAAGAGTTTTTTCTCAAAATATTTTTTGTTAAATATTTTAAGTTTTCTAAAATGTTTTATAAACAATTTTATACTTACAATTTAAAGGATACATAATAAAAGGTAGTTGATAGAATAATGATGAAATTATTTATCTTGTAAGCATCATAATTTAAAATATGTAGTTTTTTTAAAACTCAAATAAAAAATTTCACAAATCCGTAGAAAATGTTAATTCCGTTTACATATATGGGTTGATTGCTAGGAAAATCAGGTTCCGGGAATTTTTTAGCAAAATTGAGATTTTTATTGCATTTTAGTTTTTGATGTTATTAGATTAAAATGTATTAAGCTCTTAATTTTAGTCAAAAATTTCTCGGAACCTGATTTTCCTAGAAACACTCCCATATAATCTCCTGCATTACGATGATGTTGACTGGAATCATGATCTCATGTAACACAAACTATTTCTAATTCATGTGCCAATGAATAAATATTATAATTTATTAGAAAAGAGAAATATTACATACATAAAATGTACTATAAAACTATATTATTCAAATATATATACATATACATATATAATAATAACAATTATAAATAAACTAAATAAATAAAAAGGCAATTTTATTTACAATCATCAACTAAATCAACTAAATGCATTTAAATTAAAATATATTAAAACCTGAAAAAAGGAAATTATTTATGATCTTTTTTATCTTTCTTTTTTTCTTTCTTCTCGTCTTTATGCTTATCCTTTTTCTCATCTTTGTGCTTATCCTTTTTCTCATCTTTATGCTTATCCTTTTTCTCATCTTTTTTGTGCTTATCTTTATCTTTATATTTTTTCTCATCCTTTTCATCTTTATTATGCTTATCTTTACTTCCCGCTTCTTCATGTTTATGCTCAGAGTAAAGTTTACCACCAAGGAAACCCAAAGCGCCTGCACCGACAGCAGAAGCAGCTGCAATGCCAGCCGTAGTCTATAAAATGTTAGGTCAAAAAAAATTAATATAATTAATTAACGATCGTAATACACGGAAAATAAAAAGCAAATAAAAAAAAATAAAAATAAATTACCATCCAATCGTTATCACCACCTGATTTATGTTCTTTTGGTTCCGATGAGATATTTTTAGAATCAGACGGAGGAGCTCCGTATGATGGTTGTTGATAATACGACTGTGCTTGACCACCATATGATGATGGATCAGGAAACCCACCTCCAGCTGTTGGATAAGCAAGAGGACCAGTTGAATGTGGTACTGTAACAGGTGGAGGAGTTCCACTTCCATAACCTGAAGGGAGAGCACCACCTTCTGGTCCTAGATTACCAAAACCTTGATGTTGGGCTTGATTTCCTGGATAAGATTGTTGACCAGCCGGAGGTGTGTTACTTGAAGCACTACTACCAGAATTTGGAGGTGAAAAATAACCTGACCCACCTGGAACTGGATATGGGGTATGCCCTGGAGGTCCCGAAGTTGGACCCTTGATATGATAATTGTTACAAAAATAAATAAATAAATAAATGATATATATGTGTACATGCATAAGATGATTTTTATTATAAAACAAAAAAGTTTGAATTTTATATAAAACGTTCCTACTTGATTCTTAAAACTCATAAATAAATGAATTTCCCCTGAAGGTTTCCCGGTGGGACGTGTGATATTAACCCACTGCTCAGTATATCCTTGTTGAAAAACCTGATATAGAGGTATCGTGGTCCCCCCTTAATATATAATAATGAGTTCATATTTTCATTTAAAAATTTATGAGATAAAAATTATCAACAAGAAATCTTTTTTTGATTTACCTATTAACTCATCATTAACAACATCCTCATCAAATACTTCAAGGAAAAGTTCATTTCGACCTTCTAAAACATCACTAGAAAACAATCGTCACATACACAAGATAAAATCAATAAATGAATAAATAAATTAATCAATAGATCAAATGCCAAATCCTTAGGGTAATCGTTCAAATATACATACAACGTGAACTTTTCATTCCAAGTTGCTTCACTTCCAGCATCCTTGATAACGCGAGTTTTTTGCTTATTTTGTTTGTCCATAGACAAACTAACGTAAGGGTCCGCCTTATCTATGCATTAAAGTTGGAATTTAAACGTTTGTTGCAAAAATATCACTTGATAAGAAACAACACTAACCGAAAAAGTCGGTATCTTTAAGTTTTTTAGCTTCAACTTTTTGTTCGAAAAATAAAAGATTATTAAAAATGTAACATAACGTATGGCCTAACAAATAACAAGTAAAAAGGTTTTTTACCAACGGTTATTTCCAGTTGACCATAAGGCATATTGATGGAATTTTTCAAGAACGGTTTTAAAACGAAAAGTTCTCCAAAACAAAAAGATATTAACTTAATTATGTCATACGAAATTGTACAACCATTAAATATGTGATGTAATGGCCAATGGAATGCAGAACAACTTCTATGCAGAAAATGTAATATGCTGGAATCCTGAATTCCAAATAATGGCATTCCTGAAAAATGTTGGCATGATTCAAACCCTTATATGTATGTATTTCGGAGTCCCAAATTATTTCTAGATAGCATTTCTCTTTTTTTTTAAAATCGAGCTCTCAACGGGTGAATTGAGTGATCTAATTCCTTTTCTGGTTAAAAGCAATTGTGGTGCGAAATTCAATCAAAATATATATGGAAATCTATGATTGTCGTATTTTTTCAAGAAAACCAAAAAAAGTAAATATTTGAATACCCATGTATTGTAACTCCGATCTTCACTTAGAAATTCTTTCGGCTCTTTCTTTCCTGTGTCTCATTACTTTGGATGATCACACTTAATTAAAGTTAGGGAGTTTTCATGCGTAAATATGCGTAGATGCGTAGTATTGATTACGTCATTTTAAAAAATAAATAAAATTTAGATAAAATTTATTTTGTAAAGTATAAAATCTATTTTTCTATAATCGTTTGAAAATCACCAAAACCAGGACCCAAAGATATCACCCATTTCAATAATGTTATAAAATTCGAAAAATTTATTTAATACATCTTAAACTTATAAATCAAAGACTACATAAATCATATAAAAATCATATTTGATGCGTTTGCCAATAACTATATATAAAGAATTCAAAAGCTCTATAATTATAATTATATATATATATAAAAAAAGATTATTTAACAATGATAGAAAGAAAAAAAAATCTACATAAATTAAAAAAAAAATATTTATAAACAAGAAAAAGAATATATATATATAACGTATAATATATATAATCGAAATGTTTCGTGACGATATTTAAGAATGTTCATTGTTCTATTATTCAAGATTATTGCCAATTCGTATGTCTAAGGTTCATAAGACCAATCACAAAAGTAAAAAAAATTTTGAGGATTAAACTCATCAAGGAGATTTGGAGAAATAGAAGTGATTGAAGAAGTCGGAGTTGATACAAAATCCAATTCTAGATCTGTTGGTGAAATGGTTTGTTCTGCCAAGTTCATAATTTCAGGTTCAGGCGTAACTGGGTAAGTAAAATAGTTTAATGTCTCCTGCTGATTTTGTTGTCTAACCTTTGATTTCCTTTTATTTTTTGATTTTTTATTAGAATTAGCATCATTGGTTGGCACATAATGATAATGTTTCCACGCAGCTTTGTCCCGTTTGGGCTTATACTTATATTCTGGATACATCTCCTGGTGAATTTTAACAATTTCTTTGCTCAAGTTTTTATAAATGTCCAACTCTACTTTGCTAAGTTCCTTCCATATAACACCAATTATCGTTGAAAATTCTCGTTCATTATAACGTTTGAGTTCTTGCGTTTTATTCTTTTTATCATGCGATATCTTACGAAATATCATAAAGCAATTGGAAGGCCTTTTAATGTGACCATTAGAAGATTCAAATGAATTTTCTAGAACGTATTGCGTTGCGGTAATTGGAGGAGGAAACAAATTCAAAAGTTTCTTAACACGGTTTTTTTCGTCAATTTGTGGAAAACCTCCTTCATAATCACTAAGATTAGGAGAAGGTAATGAAGAAGACGACGAATTTACCGGAGAAGGTGGAAGTAATAAAGTAGTATTATAATAATTCATTATACTTGTTTTTTCCTCGACAAAGAAAAAAAAAAAAATCAAAAATAACTTTGAAATAAGGGTTTGAGAAATTGAACTATTTTATATTTGATTCTTTGAGCTATTTATTGGTTCTTTGTTCTTTGTTCTTTTGCTTTGCTCTTGCGTTTCCAATTGTAAAATTTACGTGGAGGTATTTATATTTTTTTTTTTGTTGATCGTCAACTCCTTGCGATAAAATTGTTCCATCTAGAATGGTGTAACGTGTGGAATGTAGCACAAATTGTGAATTTTTCTATTAAATAAATATGTATTAGTTCAGGGAATTTCAATTCCGTGTAATAAAAAAAAAACTTGCTTGGATTCGCTAGTCATTGTATTTTTACCAAAGATTCCCAATGTTCCAAAGGTTCTAGCAAAAAAGAATAAATTTTCGAATCTACGCGTTTTACGACTCCTGATGCGACTCCTTTAAATGAAAGCATATGAAACATTTGTATTTTGCTGCTAATGTGAAAGTGTTATCATGAGCCGAGGTTGTTCGAAACAGATTTTCCTTACTTTTCATTTTTATATTGTAAATTTTATTTTTGAAAAAAAATAAAGTCTTTACAAATTTTTATCGGAACAATCTATTCGCAAAAAAAAAAAAAAAAGTATATACGCATACATATATATATATATATAAATATTGGTATGACACAAAGTTTTAATAGATGTATGGCACTTTTAACCATCTTGTCAAAAAAAATCATTAAGAATATTATGTACACCCTCAAATCTTTGAAAATTTTATCTCGTATCAGACATTTTGTTATGAAAATTTTTCTTCGGGATTTTACATAATTTGTGATGAAAAATATCCTAAGGATCGCTATACAGATTCTTTTTTTGTTATTGTTTGTTGAACACAATACATGTATTTTCTTTACATTGTTGGATAAGTTTTCTTTTTTTTCTTTTTTTTTTATGGAGGAATCAATCATTTTGCGCAGCAATATTTTATTTTTTTTTGGTTCGTCTAAAGTTCGTCTGCAATGTAAATCAATCTATTTTAAAAATAATTAAATTTTTACCAAATAAAATTTATTTAAAAAGTCCTTCGTGGTTTTCTTTTACACTTTTTTTTTTTTTTGTTACATGGTCCATATGTCCATATGGTCGTATCCTGGCCTAAATTTGGAATCGACTGGGTAACAATGGAATTTCGAATAAGTAAATACAGTATATAAAATTGGAATTCAAACAATCAAAGGATTGCGGGTCATGATTGGTGAAATGCAGGTGTTACAATGTAAATCAAATGAATGTAAAAATTACTATATCAAATTTTTCTTTTTACTTCTGAATATAATCGTACGATAAAGACATCCGAATTTGGTGCTATTTTTTTTTGAAATTTACCGTGAAATCATTCCTGCACATTTTACCATGTGAAAAATGTAACATTCTTGGAGAATCTAACTAAATATATTTTATTTATAATTTCGCGAATTCTTTCTAATGAACGCCAACATAATTCTAATTAAAGAAATTGATATACTGTATTTTATTTTTTTCGGGCTTGTTGTTACCGTTACATTTGCATTACTTTTTATAGCTTGTCTTCTTTACATTTGGTCGATGAAAAGATCAAGAAACAACAAGACCGCAAAAAAAAAAAAAAAAGATGTACCCTTTGGCGTAAAAGTTTTACGCGTGTCGGTTTTTCATCTCCGGTTTCTCGTTACAGCCACAGCACATAATTCTTTTTTTTTTTTCGTGTCTTCAATGGTGGAATGATGGGCGTTTATCAGGCCTCAGTTTAAAATATCCTTTGATTGCTTTATTTGTAATGATATCTTGGTAAGATAGGCGATGTTGATTAATCTGGACAAAGCTAGGATAAATAAGGTTTGCGATCAAATCTAATTGGTTCCGAGAAAATTATTTATTAAGTGTCATTCACTTTCAGGCATGCCTTTATTTAGAAGAACCGAGTTATATACAATGCATTAACTATTATTTAAAAATTGAGAAATTTACAATTAATTGCATCACGTAACAACTATTTACGTGAATATAATGAGAATAAACCCGAACTTTTTTTTTTTTCGCGTTATATTTGGAATCGTCGCATGATTTTTACCCTTTGAACCTTACCATTTCAACTTTAACAGCGTGCATTTTGAACCTTAAGCATACATGAAACAAGTAGATCGAAACTTTACGCTATTATCGTCAATATGCCAAAAATGAAGAACAAGGATGAATTTTGTTTAGTCTTTGCATAGCTTTTAACTTTATGATATTGTTTATTTCATAAAATGAAACCATCTATTGAATATATTTCGACGCGTTTATCAATTTAGATCAGGTTCCACAACGAATCATGAGGACGTGTACCCGCATCATCATCTACATGTACCCAGGCCTTTGTTATAACATGACCGCAAAAAAAAAAAATAAAAAATATGCTTTACAATTATATATGTTATAAATGAGTGGTAAAAAATGGAAAGAAAATGAATTCACTGGTCAATAAACATGCATTCAAACTTACTTTGAAAGATGCCTTTTGGCTAATTTAGGACCAATATGTACACATTCTCTTTTATTTGTCTTATATGAATACAAGAATTAACATTTGTTTGTTCTATTCTGCCTATTCAAACCTTGGTTGTTACATATCTTTTATATCAAAGATGTTCGCGTATGAGATGCATCTTATTCATGACGGAGCTCGGGACTCCATAAGCCCAATTAAAGGTAAATTGATTATTTACAAATTCAGTTAAGTTAACATGAAAGTGCTCATACTATGTTTAAAGGAATTGTGTCGCAAAATGACTTTTTTTTTTAAAAAAATAAAGAAAAATTAGAGGATGAGGCGATATAATAACATATTATTATTTTATATATATATATATTTTTTTATTGTAATGTAGATAATCAATGTATTAAGGTTTTCCAGTTTTTTTTTTTTAAAAATAAAAATTACCTTCCGAAAAAAGAATCAGAGATTTTTTTTTTTTTTTTGAGGAAGTTTTTTGATTGGTTGTGTGTGAGTCATTCAGTTAATGGCGATTTATGTGATCCAGTGTGAAATGATTGACGAAGTGCTTTACTACGAATAACCTTTAGACATAGTAAAATTTTTATGTCTTCATTTTTCTTTACCCTTGTCATTTTTTCAATTGTTTGTCCGGTTTCGAAGACTAAATTCAAATTTGTTAGTATGAATCTGGTAATTTAAAACTTTTAATTAAATCATATGATCCTTGAAAAAAAAAAAAAAATTCTTTTTTGTGTAATAAGGTAAACCTTTACCTTATAAAGATTAAGACATTCTGGATCAAAAGAACCACGGGGTTTACTAACTTTATAATTTGATCACCTGGAGTTCTCCATCCGAAAGAAGATTGTCCCATGCCTCAAAACTTGCATAATTTGAGATAGAACAATGTACACTTTTTTTTCTAAAAATGATGATAACAGCGTGAATCAATGACACGTGATTTAATTTTGCTAGTTTTACAAGGAAATCTTAATTATCGTAACGCAAAAAAAAAAAAAAAATCGATAATGAGGACAAATTTATTCGATATTAAAGGGACCCCCTTTCAATGATTATCTAATAACTGTTTTCATTTGATTGGGTCAAACATTTTGGTACGAAATATTTGAGGGATAAGATATTATTTTCTTTCTTTTTACGGCAAATAATATCACAAAGGCATCGTGTTACTTTGAATTCGTCCTTTAACAAGAAACAGGAAACAAATAAAGAAAAATAAAAACATTTATGAGCTCAAGTTACTTTCAACCTCTTTGCAGAATGTATCCTTAATCAATCGAAGTGTATGTAGTCCATTCTTTGCATGTTCAATGAAGAATTTTTTTTTTAAATCAAAAAAAATGATAATTTAAAAAATAGTGGTGTAAGCACACGTTTTGATAAATTTGATTTATAAAAGTCATATAATCAAATAAGGAGGGAAATCAACGATTCGGAATTAAAGTAGCGAAATCTGTGATTCCATATTTGATGCCTAGTGATGGATGTCTTTCTATTATGTGCCCCACGCATATCATTACAAAGTAATGAGGATTGATCAGCGAATCATTCTACACAATGATTATCTAAGACACATTATTTTTATTTTTTTACATATAAAGCGAATTCCATATTAAAAAATAAAATAAAATAAATAAAAAAAAAAAAATTATATGTCATGATTGGATCATAATTAAATCTTTACATAAACGAAAGTAGATACTTTAAACGAGCATGTAATAAATTACCAGCAAAAGTAAATACACAAGAAAAATCTGGTAAGATAATAATTTGCCACTTTCCAGCTAATGGCGCATACCTTGTTACATTCAGTCGTAAAAGGTATATAAATAACTCAATTCTTGCAGATTCCTTTGTAAAAATCTTCAAAATCCCGTCCTCATTTATGTTCTAATAACTATAAAAGCATCTACTTTCCTCCTTCGTTAAACAAATACCAAATATTGGATTTACTTTGTCTATTACAAGTTCAATATGCCAAAATGTCTCACTAATCGCAAGCCTAGATCGGAAAAGAAACCGAGGATACCTACCGAGGTGCCTATAGTTAGGGCGTTCGTTGATAAATTTGATCAATGTACCATCAAATTACTTTGTTCCGATAAATATGCATCCAAACCCAAATTATCGATTGAAAAGGACGGGAAACCCTCGAGACCTTCTAATAATTTTTTTCAGTTTAAAAATACGGTCAATCAATACGCGCAGGATCATAACTTGATGGTTGATCAAACAATCTTATGCAACGATCGAAACATTCTGACCAAGGTTGCATCGGAACTATGGCATTTTTACTTAACTTCCGAGCAAAAAAATATTTTCTCCGAGTTATTTAAATTAGCAAAACAGGATCACGAGAAACGTTTCCCCAATTACAAATATAAACCTAAAAGGTTCAAAAGTGATTATAGATTTAATTTGGAAACAAAAAGTCCCGCGACTAATGATCAGCAAGATCAACGTAGTGACCAACAGATGCTTTTTAACGACATGACCGATGACATTAATGATTATTATTTGGATTCATCCTTTGCAACTATCGAAGATCAAGTTATTTCAATTTTTTTTGATGAAAGTATTATATTCCGATTTTAATATTATTTTTTTCGTAACTCTTATTATCGTTTGTTTCTTGGATTTTTTTTTTTCAACTTTCATTTTGTCGTATTTTATCATATGATTGAACTAATTTTCGATAAGTTCAATAATATTTTATTCGATTAATCTCTCCTTTCGGTTTACTAGATTTTTTTTTTTGTTTTAAAAAAAAAAATTTAACGCTTCGGTTTTTTTTTTTTTTGCATATTTTATACCTAAGAAAAACTTTGTTAATTAAATAATGACTTCATTTATTTATTTTTTTAAATAATATTTTACTTTTCTTGTCACATTAGATTTTATTCAAATAAATTACACACATTATTTAAAAAAAAAATAAGGTAGAAGTCATTAATTAAGATGTAAATTTTTAAGATTTTATAAGATGCGCTTGACGCGCGAATTAAGGAAAACATATAATAAAGATTCTTTTTTACTACAATCAAAATTTACGTACGACTTGGTAAAAGTAATAGCATATGTTTACATATATATAAGCTTAATTTTTTCATGATAAAAATATTAGACCTTTTAATTTCATAGATTTAATCGGTCCAAAGAAATTGAAATTTGTTCCTTTACTGTCCAAAGATGATAAAATAGAACGCTTGTGACGCTTTTTAAAAAGAATGATAAAAGGAAAATTTAGAATACGCCGATAAAGATAAATGAGCCAGAAAAGGAACAAAGATGTAGGCAATAAAATTTCAAACCATAAAGCTGTTTAAATAATCGAGATAAGTAAATATTTCTTTATTTCAACAATGGATGGAGAATGTATTTAATAGAAATGAATGAATGTCCATCCTTGACATCGTTGAATGTAATAGAGGTAAATGAAATCAGCTATATCAAAAAAATTGTTTTTTTTCTTTATGTGATCCTTTTTATTTAGATTCTGGATATTTGCTGATTCGCTTAATGTGTTTGAAATAAAGAACATATAGGAAATTATCAATGAATATACACTTTGGTTTTTATTTAAGTAAATATTTTGGATTTTGGATTGTAAACCTTTTTTTTAAAAAAAGTATTTTTAACATCCCAATGTAACATGGCACAGAAGGCTATAACCCTGAAAGGAAAGATCGCAAATAATAGAAAATTTTATCGAAAACTTTGCCTTCTGCAAGTGCAACTTCCTAAAGCATATATTTTCGAAGATATGTTTATCAAGATCTTCTGTGGTTATTACCATATTTTATAATTCATTTGAAGATAAAAATTTTTTTTTCGTGAATTTTAACATTTCTTGCGAAACCATTTAATAATTTAAGGTTAGTTGGAACAATTTGTAGTATGCAAGATACCAAAATTCTTTGTTTTGAAATGAAAAAGATTTGGATGGCGTTCACGGAGTTTATGATGATGGATTTTTTTTGAACGGGTTTAATAAATTAGTGCAAATAAAGACTTTACGCCATCTTTAACGATTTTATTATTATTATTTTCTGATTTCTTTGGCATAATTAATTAGCATGTCTGTTGTTCATCTTTCAATATTAAAATTTTTGTGTTCAATCGAAACCCCCTGGATTTCAACCATTCGAAATCTTGTTTGTAATCAATTGATTTTTTTTTTTTTTTCGAATGCACTCTTTATGATTCACGCGCGTATAATTATATCTTCCAAACTTCGTATAATTTGTTTGTTGTCACATGTAGTTATTTGTATTGCTTTTATGCAATAATTAATTATTTCCCAAGAAAACCTAAACAATCAATTGCAAGTATGACAGAGTCACAAGTTAGAAAATTAGAAAGGTCATGGGACATCTGGGCCAAATACTTTCAAATACTCGTTCTTCAATATCAATAATTCGACTAATTTGTATAAATATTTATTATTTTACTGCAAATTTATTTTCATTTAATCAGATATAGTTCTTCTTCTAAATTATCAAAGATCATATTTTTTGTTTGATATCTACTTGTAATTTTTCTTTTTATATTTTCTATTAATAAATACTTATAAAAATTATTTATTATTTTCTATTTTTAAGCTAAAATTGGAAAAAAATATATATTCTTTTATTTTTTAAATTTCACTAGACTTTAATTAATAATTATTTCTTAATAAATTTAACTTAGTAAGTTTACCTACATATAATACTAATATATAAGTTAATTTTTTATTTTTATGTATTCTACTTTTACATTACATTTATATATTTTTTTTATTTTTTTTATTCTATGTATTCTTACTTTTTATTCTTTTTTATATATTTTTTTTTACATTTTAACTAATTATTTTACTATATTAAATAGGTTTTACATAAGATTATATAAGTTTTTAAAATTTATAATAAATATATTTTATAAAATTATATGAATTTTATCTAGTATAAGATTTGTATAATAAGAACATAAGATTAAATAAATTTTTATAAGAACTTAAGTAAATAAGTTTAAGATTATACTTATAAAAATTTTCAGATATAAAATTACTATTATTTAAATTATTCTAAGTTTTTATTCAAAATTTTTAATTAATTAATTATTTATTTTTTATTATATTATTACTTTATTATATCACATATTTATTATTATTAATTTTATAATATTTCTTAAATTTTTTATCTTTACAGTCAACTCTCTATAAATACACTCTATATAAATGCACACCCTTTTTAAATGCACTATTTAGCTCAGTCCCAAGTTGAAGAATTAGTGTTAAATGCACCCTTTTCTCTATACACAGTGCAATAATTTTCCAATTCCATATATATAAAATTTTCTACATAAATGCACTCACGTGACTATGTGATTATAGTTATAAGTTACCTAATAAAATAATGTATTACATTGCTATTTATAATATAACGCGTTTGCTATATATTATATAATGCGCTGTAAACTGCAATTTATATTTACATTATTTAGGTATTATGTCTCCTAAAAAAAAATTACTCTAACTGATATACAAAAGTATGAACTCTGTTTTTATGCTAATAGTAATCAAGAAAACTGACTCCATTATGTAAATTGGGTTAAAGAAAAGTGAGAAGTTGTAGTTGATAAATCTACAATAACAAGAATCTTATAAATAAAAGAAAAATGGCTTTCTACTGAAATTCTTAATCCAAAACAAAAATAGCGAAAAGCTGTTACCTATCCAGAACTTGAGTTTGCTATTTTAATTGAAAAGACTAAGTTGTTAGCTGAAAGGTTAGGAATTTCTGAGAATAGTTTACAATTTTCAAATGGTTGGCTTCAAGGATTTAAGAAACGTAATAGAATTTGTCAGAAAAAGCT